ATTGTACACAGTACTGGAGACCGTATCTTCAGAAGGATATTGATACCTTAGAGAGGGTTCAGAGAAGGGCTACTAAACTGGTTCATGGATTGCGGGATAAAACTTACCAGGAAAGGTTAAAGGATCTTAACATGTATAGCTTGGAGGAAAGACGAGACAGGGGGGATATGATAGAAACATTTAAATATATAAAGGGAATCAACACAGTAAAGGAGGAGACTATATTTAAAAGAAGAAAAACTACCACAACAAGAGGACATAGTCTTAAATTAGAGGGACAAAGGTTTAAAAATAATATCAGGAAGTATTACTTTACTGAGAGGGTAGTGGATGCATGGAATAGCCTTCCAGCTGAAGTGGTAGAGGTTAACACAGTAAAGGAGTTTAAGCATGCGTGGGATAGGCATAAGGCTATCCTAACTATAAGATAAGACTAGGGAGTAATGAAAGTATTTAGAAATTTGGGCAGACTAGATGGGCCGAACGGTTCTTATCTGCCGTCACATTCTATGTTTCTATGTTTCTATGTTTCTCATTCCAGTAAGATAAGTTAGCAAATTGCACGAATCTTGTGACTAGCACTCTGCATTTTCCATTCATAGGGCAGTTTGGGTAATGGGCAGTTTTTGGTAATTTTTTTCATAGACCAGACTGCATGTGAAGTGTTATTTTTAATGCATATGTCTACAAAACAAGTAAAGGGTCTAATCATTATATTAAGAGTTTAAAAAGTAAGAAGATTGATAATATTGAGATAAATTAAGAAAGGTGCAGTACACTTACTGAGCAGATTTGACTATTTTGGCAAACTTCTTAATGGGGTATGTCTAACCTGATCAGATCATTGGAAATACATTGTGAAAACTTAGAAAATTACAAAAAAATTATGTATCCATGAGCAACAATCTAAAGGCTAACCTCCGTTCCAATGCATCCATTTCCTCAGGTTTGTGGGTGTTACTCTTCATGCAACAGGACATCGGCCTGCTTGTGGCGCACACCAGGATATTTCCTGGTGGGCTCCCCCTGTCCTGAGCCGCAGCGCTGGGCGAGGCGGCTCTAGAACCGCCCCCCCTCAGCGCCGGGCTGATCCTCCAGGCTTGTGTCTGTCAGTGAGTGAGTGTATGTATGTCAGTGAGTGTCTGCCTGTGTGTCTGTCAGTGAGTGTGTGAGTGTTTGACTGTCAGTGTATGTGTATCTGGCTGTGTGTGTGTGTGTCTGTCTGTCTGTCAGTGAGTGAGTGTGTGTATGTCAGTGAGTGTCTGTCTGTGTGTGTGTGTGTCTGTTTGTGTGTGTATGTCTGTCAGTGAATGTCTGCCTGTGTGTGTGTGTGTGTGTGTGTGTGTATGTCAGTGAGTGTGTGAGTGTTTGACTGTCAGTGTATGTGTATCTGCCTGTGTGTGTGTGTGTCTATCAATGAGTGAGTGTGTGTATGTCAGTGAGTGTCTGTCTGTGTATGTGTGTCTATCAGTGAGTAAGTGTATGTATGTCAGTGAGTGTCTGTCTGTGTGTGTGTATGTGTGTGTGTATGTCTGTCAGTGAGTGTCTGCCTGTGTGTGTGTGTCTATCAGTGAGTGTGTGAGTGTTTGAGTGTTTGACTGTCAGTGTGTGTGTGTCTGCCTGTGTGTGTGTGTGTGTGTGTCTGTCTGTGTGTGTGTGTGTGTGTGTGTGTGTGTGTGTGTGAGAGAGTGTATGTCTGTCAGTGAGTGTCTGCCTGTGTGTGTGTTTGACAGTGAGTGTGTGAGTGTTTGACTGTCGGTGTGTGTGTTTGTCAGTGAGTGTCTTCCTGTGTGTGTGTGTGTGTGTGTGTGTTTATGTGTGTGTGTCTGTCAGTGCGTGAGTTTATGTATGCCATTGAGTGTCTGTGTGTGTCTGTCAGTGAGTGTCTGTGTGTGTGTGTGTGTCTGTCAGTAAGTGTCTGTGTTTCTGTCAGTGAGTGAGTGTATGTCTGTCACTGAGTTTCTGTATGTGTCTGTCAGCAAGTGAGTTTCTGTGTGTGTGTGTCTGTCTGTCAATGAGTGAGTGTATGTTTGTCAGTGAGTGTGTGAGTGTTTGACTGTCAGTGTGTGTGTGTGTGTGTGTCTGTCAGTGAGTGTCTGCCTGTGTGTTTGTGTGTGTCAGTGTGTGTCTGTCAGTGAGTGTCTGTGTGTGTGTGTGTGTGTGTCTGTCTGTCAGTGAGTGAGAGTATGTCTGTCAGTGAGTTTCTGTGTGTGTCTGTCAGAGAGTGAGTGTGTCTGTCAGTGAGAGAGTGACATGAGGGGGTGGAAAAATGGATCTTTGCCTAGGGTGGCAGAAATCCTTGCACAGGCTCTAGCAACACCCACCTCCATGCCATCCTCTGCTCCACTCTTCCCTCTTCTCTAAGCAGTGCAAACCTTCTCAGTGAAGCCAACACACTTGCTTCGCTGCTATCATGCTGCCATCTTTACAAAGTGACATCAGTCACTTCATTCCTATACTCACTTGCCAGTGCATGTGTTGCAGTTGCTATGCTTGGGAGAGCAGAAAGACCACCTGTGTGAGATCTTTTCTGATCTCCCTTGACAGACAAATCATCTGCATAGACTATACGCCAAATATTTGAATGAAAAGTGGGAGAAATTTTTTTTTTTTAAATAGGTTTTTCTCCGAAGCTATACATTTGCTAGCAAAACAGTTAGCACCATGTATAGACATAACCTTATGCTCTTTTCAGCATAACTGAAAATACAGATTACAGGTATTTTTTAAGGCTTAAACAGTTAAAACCAATAAAGAAGTAAATCTAGCTGGGGTTCACAGACCCCCACTCCCCCCATTACATAAAGTGAGAAAACAAATATGTAAAACACAAAGGTAACCTAAATAATAAAGAGCCTCCCCCTTTTCTATTTAGGAATGCAACAACTACCATCTCTCCTTAGTCAATTATTTATTCTTATTAGAATTTGTAAGTAGAGATTTGTTATGTGAGTTAGGCAATGCCTAATTGCGTAGTTTGGTAACGTATTTAACACTTTAAGACTCCTGTCCTTCTGCAGATGTTAAATATAACATCCAGCCTTCCATTTTACTGGTATGGGAGATGCACATTTTGTCTACATTCCCAATCGGACTAAAACATGTCCTGCCAACCATAAAAAATAGCATTAGAGCTGGTTTATTAAATTGATATATTTCCGAAGATAACAACCAGCATGGGATATTAAGTATTGTTTTTGAGCTGATTAATGCTAAACCTATACATGAACAATATAAAGCATTTTTAAGCATTTGCATTTTCACTGTAAACAATGGTTTTAAAAATGACATTTGCAGTGCAATGTCCCATAAATGTTGACAAATGTTTATTTTTAGCATCTGTATTAATGTTCTTGCATGTAAATCTGATCTTTTTAGCATGTGATTTACAAAGATAAGCACACCAGCTGTTCATCTCTAGCCTAATCCCCAGGGAGACAGGTTTCCTGCTAAAGTTAGGATTCAACGCCACTGCTAACAAATAGTACTGAAGTGCAAAGGCTGCACAGCCAACTGTTCAATCTTGTGTGAAATATAACAGATACCGTTAATGTTTAGCTGTAAAAAGTAATACTATTCTTCAAACTCAATATGCATCTTGCAAATCAATTCACTAGTACAATAATTACATCTTTCCGTGTTTTAAAAGCATTTTATCTGGCAAATTATACACGTTCACAGAAAAATACACTTATGGTAACATTTATACAGCCAGTAACTTAGAAACACATAATATATTATATTATTACTTATAAACGTATAGATAACAATTGGTTTGTAGTTTATATAATATGGCTCATCAAGCATTTACTGCTATGTCATTGGCATAGGAGTAAAGGCTTTTTTTAAAGGTACCGTGAGCAATAGAGGGAGCAATTGATTTCCCCCAAATGACAAAGACTGCATCCATAATACCAGAGCATGCTAGCAATTGCGGGATACAGTTCAAGTCATTCTGGATGTGGGTGGGCTATTTACATAGAACTCCATTAAGTTCAGAGAAACATGATGTGTGTGGTATGAATATATTTTAATGTGTACACTTGTTAGCAGTTTCTTGCAGTGATACATATACAAATGAGAACTTTAATCTGCACCTTTTGACCACACCTGGTCTAGTGCAAAGGTACAACTTCATATATCTCAAAGAAAATTCCCCCAATGATAGTTAAGAGAGCTTCATAGATTTTTTTCGTCATATAAAACAATTTGCTACAGACAACTCTTTAATGCTACCTTAAAACTTTTTTTAAATTATATAATTGAGCACATAATTAAAACCACTAATTTCTAAAGTATAGCAAATCTAGAAAAACTTTAGAAATTAGTTAACAATTATATTTTTTAATTGGTGCATTCAAAACCTGATTTCTTCATGGTGCTCTATGAAACAAACAAACAAACTAAAAAACAGCAATAAAAAACCTTATAGTAAGCTATGGCAGCTATGTCATTTTTCAGACTTATATACAATAACACCAGTAAATTCATTCATGCACATTGGTGTTTACATATTGCACAGCACACATATATGGGCAAATATGATGTAACTAATCCTCCTATCCTCCTAACTGCTCAGTTTTCATGATAATTAAAATGAAAGACTTTTTTAAAACTAAATTAAACCATTATATAGATCAGCGATACGTGATGTATAAATATGGATTTTTGCAGTTTTTGTTTTTTTTATTCTTTATTTTTCTGTGCTCAGTTGTACATGAGAGTTACATCCAGCATTTCATGAGATGGTTAGTTTGCAAGTATTTGGCAGTAGCGAGTATTCCCTTAGCATTTGGGGTTAGTGTCAAGATATACAGTGAAATGCGTTTGGCAAGCACTTTTTTATTTTGACCATGTTTGGGGACAAACCCGGGGCTAGCTAGATTTCTGCAGGCTAGTGATTGGTTTGTGTTGCGCTCCTGGGGTACTACAGGTGTGAGGTGTGAAGTATGCTCCTTTGTGTTGCATGAGGCTGCAGTGCTGCATGGGAGCCTACGCACGTGTGTGGTCTCAGGTTGGCATCTATGTGCGTAGATAGTGCCAGGGTGTGTGTACCTTCTGGGTACTATGTGCAGTGCGATATTCATGTTTGTGTGGACGTTGGTCCGTTCAATTTCTTGTGGTAGTCTGGCACACTTAGTGTTACCCCTGACCTAGGGGGATTGCGGGGGGGTATTTATCTTGTAGCTTCTGGATGTCTACCAGGAGGGCTTTCAGGTCCCTTTAGTGGTGGGGGCTGAGTCCTCTGGCGAGGCTGGGGATTTTGTGTGTCCCATCTCGGGGTTCTGCGTGTGTGAGAACACACACTCTGTCTCCGGGATGGGGGCCATGTTTAGCGGGGGATCCGCATGTGCTGGCGCGGTACCGCCGCCAATCGATGCTCCTAGTGCTTGCCGAGGACTCCAAGCACTCCAACCAACACCATCAGTACTGCAGACTTATCCCATCCCCCAAGCATGAGCCAAGGCTTCAAGAAAGGGTCAAGCAGGTCTGTTTAATGAGCACACAAAAGCAACAGCACTCATGCAGCAAAACAACTCCTCCTCAGAGGAAAACAAAATGACAGTTAAAAGGGTTTAAACTGGTGTTCTAAGAAGGGAGGGGGGAATAAAACAGTCAAACTAGGTCCATAAAACAGGGATTTTCTTCACACTCTGCATCCGAAGTGCATAGCAAAATTGCAGATCCTTTGTCAGAGCATTTAAACGGCCAGAACCAGTCTAATAAAATCCACTATGCCCAAATAACATATTTAAAGGGCAAAACCTTCCAGGGGCCATAGTCATACAGCAAGAGGCTGGTAATTAGTCCTCTCCAGGCACAAGTGGCGAAGGGCACTTCGCCACACCTTAGATATGCAATACTCACAATTCTTAATGCCATTGCAACATTGAATTCAAAAATAAAAACTTAAAAAAGAGAGAAGTCTCCAAATAATACTTGTATTTATTTCCAGAAGACAGCAATTTACTTAAGGATAATTGATAAATATATGTATCTCTCATTTTATTCTTGGTAAGGTGACTTACTCAATAGCTCTAACACTTGCATGGAATATGTGAACATTTTGGAATATTAGAAGAATGGCAGAGAAACATTATCAAGTCAAGATTTTTAGTTCAAACGCGTTAATTATTGCCTTTACTGTAATATACCGAGATGGACAACCTAGGTGAACATTTTTATCTTTTTTTAATACAGTATAATGCTTTTCAGGTTCATTCCAACATACTGCTACTTTATATATTTTAACATTACTGGTAAAATAGCCTATTGCTGGTAGGACAAAAAGTCTAAAAAAAATCTTACAGATAATGGGAGTTTTATTTATTCTACAAATAATGAGCATTATATCTACCTTCAAGGGCTGCTGTTGCCCAAATGTTTAAGAATTTGATTGCTTGAATAGAGATGAATTGGTAAACATTTCTGACTAATTAAAGATTTTAATTTTCATGAAATATAACCTTAAAAATGTTTTGTCTATGTAACTTAAGAATACGTTTGGGAAGTTTTTATTTGTGCTGTTTAAAATATCTTTCCAATTATTTTATACCTCTATTTAGAATGCTAAAAATATGTTTAAAATCTGATCACTGTTGGCTGTACATATACTAAGCTGCACATATTCTATTTAAATGTAGTAATGTAATATTTAAATTGTAATAACGTTTACCTCAGATCACTCCCCTGTCCTCTTCTCTTCTCCTGCGTATCCAAAAGAAGAGGACTTTAAACTTGAAAACAAGCTCTTTATACTCCAACAATCTATAACAACTTTATTGCTCTAAAATAAGTTAGTGATTAAATATCTATAAATTGGACATGTGCTATATTTTACCACTGATGGTGTAGATTAGTTCATATTCACAGATAATGAGGATTATTAGATCAGGTAAACAATACATATGAGATATGTAAGCTTTTCAACCACCACCTACATTTTTAGTTTGCAGTTTTAATAACTCTTTCAGTGCTGTAGTAAACTACATTCTGTGTTAAATAACCATCTCCATCTATACAATATGTATATTTGTACAAACTTTAAGGGACACTCCAGGCACCCAGACCACTCCTGCCCATTGGAGTGGTCTGGGTGCCAACTCCCACTACCCTTAACCTTGCAAGTGTAATTAGTGCAGTTTTTCATAAACTGCCCTAATTGCCTAATCCTCCTCTAGTGGCTGTCTATGTGACAGCCACTAGAGGAGCCTCTGGGTTCTTAAAACACTTTTAGTGTTTTAAGAGATGCTGGAAGTCCTCACACAATGCATGAGGACCTACAGCGTTGCCGGAATCCCCATAGGAAAGCATTGAATAATGCTTTCCTATGGTGCAGTGTAATGCGCGTGTGCGGCTGTTGTTTTAACCCCTTCAGCTTGGGATGGGAGGTGGGAGGGAGAGGGCACCTGCAGTGCCAGGAAAACGGTTTGTTTTCCTGGCACGGGAGAGTCCCTTTAATTTTTTGATAATAAACTAATGGACTTTTAGCCCAGAAATATTCACTTACCAAATCATTTGATGCAGCATTCCTTTTTTCACCTTTTAGAGAAATTAAATGAATTTGTCTCCATTCTGCTCAATAGACTTTTTTGAAGATTTACTATAAATAATACTTTTCATAAGTACTCTCACATTCCACATCAGAACCCAGTCACAATGGCACACCAATGGAATAGGTTTTGTCAGTATTCTCACTGGAATAAAAATGAGAAATGGGGGCGGGGCCTGACCGCCAAGCCGAGCGGATGCACATCACATCAGCTACTGAACAATACCTGCAAAGAGGCCCAAATTCACTGCTTTATAGCCCCTTCAGGCTTGTAATCGACAACTGGAGACACCTGGGCTTCTCTGTGTGCAAGTAGCAAAACAAGACTTTTGCTGACGGATGACACTCGAGGCCTGGCCTGGTGGATGATGCGGCCGATCCTCCGAACCTGGCCTGGACGGGCATACCAAGAGTGCGACCAGAGCCCTGAACTGCCCCCTGTGGTCCGGTGGGGGTTATCCTGGACCCCATTAAGATAACAATCACCTCAGAAACGCTTCTTGGCAACCACTACACAAACAGCTTCCACGCGGTTTATCCAAAATGACTGTCAATGCTGCTTCACCGCAAGATGCAACAGAATCGACCCTCTCAAAGCTGGACTTACTCTTTGAAGACATCTAGTGAAAGCTCAGGGAGAGGCAGGGCAGACTTGAGGCAACATTCACCTCTTGCAGTCCAGCCATCCAAGCAGACATTTCCAAAAAGGAACGGAGTCAAATCTAGGCACCAAAAGAGAAAGCGACTTAGGCGGCCAGACTCAAGAACGAAGCCTAAAAGCAGAGCTCCCCACAGACACCCTCTGCCAAATCAGCACACCCACAGCACCTCAAGGCTGCACGCGCCCAAGCCCTCGAAGGACACCAGGGCCTCCTGGAAACACTAAGACCTCACCCTTATACAGCAAGGAGAGTGGATAGAAGATGGAGGAGACAGGCAGCAGCGGTATATGGATTCCGCAGATACTATCTTGCCTGCCCCATACATGATAGACCAGCTCAAGCAGACTCAAGGAGCCGAAGAGACAAGTTTGAAAATGCCTGCTTCCCTACAAACCGGTCTGGACTTAGCCTGACACATCAAGCATTGGTGGTATAGTGATGAGCATAGTGGCCTTCCAAGCAGTTGACCCGGGTTTGATTCCCAGCCAACGCAAGAGAACCTGATTTTACGACATTGTAGTCAGCAAATTTTATGTTTCTCTTTAACATTCTCAACGAACGTTACTGCTCTTGTTGCTGAATCAACAACATTTTATCAGGAAGTATTACTTTCCTGAGAGGGTGGTGGATGCATGGAATAGCCTTCCAGCTGAAGTGGTAGAGGTTAACACAGCAAAGGAGTTTAAGCATGTGTGGGATAGGCATAAGGCTATCCTAACTATAAGATAAGGCCAGGGACTAATGAAAGTATTTATAAAATTGGGCAGACTAGATGGGCCGAATGGTTCTTATCTACCGTCACATTCTATGTTTCTATGTTTCTGACATCCATGGGCATAGGTTAAAATGGCTGTTTGCAATGGGACTCTGCCTGTGTTAGTGTAATGACCTGCTGTTTCTTCTCCCTCACAGCACTGCTAGTTAACCACTGTACATGATTCCCTCTCTGTCTTTAGACCGGTGTACGTATGCCTCCTCATACTTCCTTGCGACTACCAACTCTAGCAATGTGCCAACATAGACTGTACCCTTTACAATGACCTGCAGGGATGCTTATGTTTGAGTATTTTCTAGTATCCAGCCTCAGCATATCTAGTCTAGCCACACTTAATAATCCATTCATCTTGTTTACCTACTACAGGCCTGGGTAGAAAGCGAATTACTGTTAGTCACTGCTATGGACCTTATTTTAAGTCTTGCCCTGTTACTACTTTTGTTTTTCTTTCATCATGCAACTTAATCATTTAGAAACTTTCATGTGTACAGTCCAGAGCCTAGCTTGATTGTTATATCACACTCGTGTGTTTAGCATGCAGGACTCTTGATTCCTAAACAAAAAATGTGTGCAGTTATTAAATGAAAAAATTAGAAATGCCTAAATCATGCGGTGTGCAATATGAAGTGTGTTGAAAACCTCTGCTCCAGAGTAAACATTTTTGGTCACAACTCATGGCTTGTGTGGATTACAGGGAGGGGGGGAGGGGAGTGATAGTTCTAATTGTACCCAGTACATTACACATCATTGTTGCACGTTGCAATAGCATACTTTAATGCACTTTATAATACAGATACTTGCTGAAAAGGTATTGATGTATATGGGTATTCAAGCTATATGCCCACAGTTATTCTGGTAGCATGTTTAGAAAGCTGCAGTCTTGGAGTTGCCAAGTTTTTTTTACAAATATGCTCAAGTAAGTATTTTTTTTTTATTGCAAATTTAAACAATTAACAAAATAACTTACTATTAGACAAAAACCTACTACTAGTACTAGTAACCAAAACTAGTAATGTACAGGTGACTCACAATATTATATGCACGATAGAGCAAACCAGGGTATAGTGGTAGTAGTTGATAGTACAATCGAAGAAAAGCAGCTCCTGCTATCAAATAATAGTAGAACAACATTATTCCAAAAATTATGCTGAAAATTAACCATTT